CTGGTAGCTCACACCTATACTCCTAGCCACTCAAAAGGCTGAGATCTGAGAATCACAGTTCGAAGACAGCCTGGGCAGGAAGATCTGTGAGACTCTCATCTCCAATTAACCACCAGAAAACTGGAAGTAGCACTGTGGCTCAAAGTAGTAGAACACTAGTAGCAGAGCAATAAAGCTAAGGGATAGCACCCAGGCCTTGCGTTCAAGCCCCACAGTCAACAACAAAAATAAATAACTAAATAAAAATAAAAATTCTCAGTAAAATAGTGGCAAACAAAATCTAAGAACCCACTGAAAAGATATTACACCATGATCAAGTTGGTTTTATTTAGGGATGCAAGGATGGTTTAACATATGTCAATCAGTAAACAGAAAAACAGGGTCAAGGAAAAAAAACCACATGATCATTTCAATAGATGCCAAAAAAAGTCTTTTTGTATCCTTTCATTATAAAACCTTTGAAGAAACTAAGTACAGAAAGATCATCCTTAAGCATAATTAAAAAAAAAAACAAAAAACTGTATGACAGAGGTAACACCACAATTCCTTGATTTCTGATCCCCGGGGACATATGGATCCAAGAACAAACACCCTTATTGAGAAACCCAGACAAAAGTGGTAGAGTTTAAGTTAACAGGTAGGCAGATGCTAGAAGCCCACCTCTGCTTAGGGCAGAAAAGGGGTATATAAATCACAGAGCACAGATTCCTGCTTGGGAAAGATCCAGACATGTCCTAGTTTTTCCAGGTGCTGCCTGAGGATTGGCTTCTGTTGCCTTTGTCCAGAGCACTACACTCCAGATGGAGAGAGTTAGTAAAAACAAAAACCTGTGTGGGTGAGCACACAGGTATTCAGAGGCTTTAGAATCCTGGTCAGATTGAACAGCGAAGCTCTTCTTCATTAATTTTTTTGTCAGCCATGGGGCCTAAACTCTGGATCTGGGTGCTGTCCCTCAACTCTTCAGCTCAAGGCTAGCGCCCTACCACTTGAGGCACAGTGCCACTTCCAGCTTTTTCTGCTTATGTGGTGCTGAGAAATCAAACCCAGGGCCTCATATATGCAAGGCAAACACGCTACCACGGAACCAACTTACCAGCCCCATAGCAAAGCTCTTCTATACAAGACTAGTCCCAAGAGAATTGGGAGACATAGCTGGTTTTTCTAATACATATATACAAACACCAAAGTGAATAAAAATAAACAGGAAATAATATCCCAAAGAAAAGGACAAGATGCACTTGAAAGCAACTCTAATGAAGATAGATGCTTCATCTAACAGAGAATTCAGAATACTTACAAATGGCCAACACACATAGGAAAGAGGACTGATTTATCACTAAGCTTCAGAAAAAAACGTAAATCTACAGCACAAAGCACATTTCAACATCTGTTAGACTGGCTCCGATATGAAGATGGAGCTGGGTGGGCATGGTGGTATGAACCAGTAATCCCCATTACCTTGAAGAGTCAGAAGATTACAGGTTAAGGTCAACCTGAGCAAAAAGTTACCAAGAGTCCATCACAACAAATAAGCCTAGGATGGGGACATGTACCTGTAGTCACAGCTACTCAGGAAGTCTAGGTGGTAAGATCATGGTCCAAGGACCGCTACAGCAAAAGGACGCAAAGCCCTGTCTGAAAATAAGTAGAGCAAAACAGAAGTAGGGTTAGGGCTTTAATGGTAGAAACTGCCTAGCAAGTGTTCCTCAACTCCAGTATCAGTAATTTTTTTTTTACGAAGGAAGAGTTTGTGAGGGCATGGAGAACATGAAACCTTTGTATTCTATTGGCAGGAATGTAAATGGTACAGATTCTATGGAAATCAGTGCAGAAATTCTTCAGAAAATTTTTTGCTGGGAGATGTCCCTGAGCATTTATATTTTCTACGATTTGACTCACAGCTCAATTCCTGGCTTTTTGCTGGTTAAATGGAGGTAAGAGTCTCACAGACTGCCCTGTACAGGCTGGCTTTGAATCTCAGCCTCCTGAGTAACTAGAATCACAGATGTGAGTCACTGGTGATGCCCTTTAGAAAGTTTTCAAAAGCTTATGCAATATTTAGGCATACAGTCAAAGGGAATGGAATCAGAACTACAGATACAGTGACTTTCTGTTCATCAAGGCATCACTCACAGCACCAAGAATGAAGACAGCATTAGGTGTTCATGATGGGTGACATATAAAGAAAATGTGATACACAAGACACGTGCATGCACACACTACATGCATGACTTAGCCTTCAAAAGTGGCTCACACCTGTAGTTCTAGCTACACAGGAGGCTCAGATATGAGGCTCAAGGTTGAAATCTAGCACGGGCAGGAAAGTCTGTGAGACTCTGATCTCTAATTAACCACCACAAAGCCAGAAGTAGAGCTGTGGCTCAGTGGCAGAGCCCCAGTCTTGAGTAAAAGAGCTAAAAGACAGGGCTTAGGCTCTGAGTTCAAGTCCCAGCCGCAGTATGAAAAACCTACTGTGCTTTAATATAAGCCAGAGAAAAATACTGCAAGATCTCACTTCTGAATAAAATATAAAAATATTTGTGGGTGCTGCTGGCTTATGCTTGTAATCAATCGTAGCTATTTAGGAGGCTGAGATGTGAGGATCATGGTTCAAAACCAGCCTGAATTGGAAGGTCCATGAGACCCTCATTTCCAATTAACCACCAAAAAGCATGAAGTAGCACTGTGTCTCTCATGAGAGAGAACTAGCCTTGGGCACAAAAGCTTAGGGACAGCTCCCAGGCCCCAGCTAAAGTCCCAGGTCTGGCGCACGCGCACGCGCGCACACACACACACACACACACACACACACACACACACACACACACACACACACACACACACACACACACACACACACACACACACACACACACACACACACACACACACACACACACACACACACACACACACACACACACACCCCATGTACAGAATTTCCAGAATTCCTCCTAACAATGTCTGATAGATGTGGAAAATAGAGAGATATTGACCACAGGATTCAGACTTTGAGCTGTAAGAGGCTCTTACATGAACAACAGGTATGATGATGAAGGATTTATTAGTATTACTATAATTGTTTCACAGGTTATATGTATATCGATGCATCATCTATACCTCAAAAATCAATGCTGGCGCTAAAAGAATTCTTTCAGTGTGGTCAGTGAGGGACATGCCAGCACTCATGGAAATACAAGATCAACAAAATTGCCAAACTGTAGACTTTTCTGGAATGGATCACACACATTTACTTGTAGAGACGAGAAGTCTAGATCTTGCAGAGAAATTTTAACAGGATTTCTACCTTAATATTTCTGTTATAGAACACAGACAGCAAAATTACCACATGAAAGCCTTAGGTGATACCAGATGATCTCAAAGAGAGGCTATAGTATTAGCAAATCCTAGTAGCCATCTAATGAGATGAATGAAGATAGAATGAAGATAACTCAGGAGACCTCAGCTCCTGATGGCCAGGAAACATTGAGAACTCTTAGGTTTCAAGATAAATAAAGGATGTAAAAATTTTAGCTACATTTTAACAAATGAACAATGGTAGCATATCTAATACTAGGACTATGCAGACATTTTTATGAATGTTTAGTTTTGTGGGTGGGTGTATGCTGATCCTGGGGCTTGAACTCAGGGCCTGGGAACTATACATAAGCTTATTTTGTTAAAGGCTGAGCCACAGCTTCACTTCCAGCTTCTTGGTAGTCGACTGGAGATAAGAGTCTAATTGACTTGGGCTGCTTTGGGCTGGCTTTGAAACATGATCCTCAGATCTCAGCCTCCACAGGATTACAGGCACCAGCCATTAGTACCTAGCCTGAATGGCAACTTCCATGTTCTTTATTTGCGTCAGGGACGATTTAGTCAAGCATTTCTGCCTATGCAAACATTAAAATCCAAGAAAATAGAATCTTGTAAATTCAATTGTGGAAAATAAAAGAGGCCAAGTTTTTAAGTTCAGATAAGTGATAACTCTTCCAAACAACTAACTTATGGTCTAATAAAATGAATGCTAGGAAGCAAAAACATGTATTGAATTGGCTAGGAAGCTAAGTCAAAGGGAGAGAGGAAGGATAGGCAAATACAGTCATAATGCCATACACATGTGAAAATGGAACCAGGCAGCTTGAGGGGAGAGGTAGGGCAGGGAGAGATGGGGGGATCAGTGGAACAGGTGACCACTGATCAAAATGCATTATACTTATGAACTAACAGGTTGAATTGTAACCCCTTTATATAACTATTTAAAGGTAACTGAAAAAAAGTATTTTTAAATGCTTTCACATATAGGACATGCTCGTTGATCTGTATATCCTTTTATGGGACCAAAGTAAACATCTGTAAGGCTTTATTAACTATTGCTGCCAACGAAAGGCACATAGACTCACACTATTTTCTCTATGCAAATATATAAACATTTTATTGATTGTGTGTGTGGGACACATACATACAGAGACAGAGAGAGAAAAGGAGGGAAACAGACAAGAATGACAAAGAGAAGAATGGACAGTGGAGGGGAAAAGGGAGGGAAGGTACAAGGAGTGGAGAGGGGAGGGGAAAAGCAGGGGGAATCAAAGGGGAGGAGGAGGGCATAAGAAAGAAAAGGAGGGGAGGGGAGGAGAAGGGACTAGGAGAGGAGAAGAGGAGAGGAGAGAAGAGGAAAGGGTGAAGGGGGGAGAGGGGAAAGGAACAAGGAGAGGAGAAAAGAAGGAGAAAAGAGGAAAGGGAAACCAAGAGACTTAATATACATAGCATGACTAAATAAATGTAAATGTGGATTCTGACATTTTTGAACACAAAAAAGGTATTACCAAATTTTGAGTTTCAAAAAGATGAGAGGATAGCAAAATATTAAACACTGTCAGTTTGAAAGGTAAATAGGAAAAACAAAAAGATATTGTTTTGTGAACTGAGGCAATTTCAAGTAAGATACACTAAGAGTAAAGATACCTTATGGAGAGAAAGTTCAAAAAGCCTTTGCTCACCTGGCTTATCTTCCTTTGTTCTTGAAGCGCAGTCTGAATTGCCTGAGACACTTTCTCCTGATCTCTTGCATGTTCTGTCTTCCATAACTCTCTTTCTTCTGCATGGACTTTTTCCAAGTTTTTTCTTTCTTCTTCTACAGCTTTCATAACTATATCCTTCACTGCATCCTGCTCAAGCTTTAAAACAAATAATGAACAAAGAAAACATAGATGAATGACTGGACAATAATGTGGTTAAGCTTAAAGACAAGACTGGGATGCTCTACAGTCTAGGTCTGAGGTTACTGCTTGCATACACAATGAATATTTGCATAAAATAGACTTTTAATATGAGCATTCCTACTTACTTTTATGGCATTCCTATGCTTCAAATAAATTGAGCCTTGCTTAAGGCTGTCACTCTACCATTGGGGTTATGCTTCTAGTTCAGTTTTTGTGTAGGTAAATTGAAGATAAGACTAGCTTTTCTGCCTCAGCTGTCTTTGAACTGCAAGCCTTAGACTTCAGCCTCCTGGAATAGCTAGGATTTACAGGCAGGAATCTTGGCCTTTGGCATATTATGATTCTTTCTTGCAGTTTGAATGAATCAGTTATTGATATGTAAATCATTTGATATGTAAATCACTTATTGTTTAGAAAATTCACTCATTTACTCATCTTGTTCAAATGTTGACATATTTTATTTAAAAAATCACATTGGCTAATACTTCCATCCATCTCATCAGCCTTATCTGTAAGTACTGAAAAGCAAGAAACAAACTTTTTTATATTTTAATTTTGCAAACACAATTGCGAAGAAGGAATGTTGCTTTTTGCTTGTTCTTTTTTTTTGGGGGGGGGTGCTAATTCTGGGGCTAGAACTCAGGGCTTCTCATTCTTGCTTGTTGATTTTCACTTAAGGAAAGTGTTCTACCACTTGAGACACACCTTCACTTTCAGGTTTTTGTTGGTTAGTCAGAGATAAGAGTCTCCTAAATTTATCTGCCTGGGATAGCTTCTAACTGCAATCCTCAGATCTCAGACTTCCAAGTAGACAGAATTACAGGTGTGAGACACCAGTACTCAGCACTTCAAACTTTTTCTTTTTTTTTTTTGAAGGTGATAGTGGGGCTTGAACTAGGGCCTTTTTCTACTTGTTCCTGATTCTTGAATCCATACTCTGGGAATTTACAACTTGGTCTTTATCTATGACACACACCAAACATATATGTTGATTTCAGCTTTTATCAATTTTAGAGTCTATTTCCTTCATTTCCAAGTTATAACCATGAGTCTATTTCTATCAAAACTATATCTGGCCTGGATATTCAGTGTACTTTTTTTCATTCTACTAATTCTTCCCCTGCTTCTAATATGGGTTAATTTCAATTTCCCTAAAATTAATGTCAACTGCCATTATGGCACACCTTTGCTAAGAAGTTTCAATGTGTCTTTTTCATGAAAGGAATCAATTTCAAACTGGTTCAGAATACTAGCTACTTTTAAGGCTTTCAAAAGCAGTTTGTTGCTTAAAATTTTCTATTATGTGGACATACTACTTACACATTCATGATAATTTACTTCCTCCCCTGTTAGTATATGAATATTTTTTACTATAAATTCTTTGAGACAAAATCATAGGAATCTCAGCACAGTGATATACATGTATTTGTTTACTTAATAGTTTTTCCTCAATATTTGTTGGTTAAATTTAATTTTAAATCAAATATGAAAGCTAGTATGATAAGCAAATTTGTTGATATGTGTACCGTTTATATTTCTGAATGCATTATTTAGATGAGTTATTTTAAGCCTGGCTTTACACACAGCCCTATGATGATACCTATTAAATACCAGCCGAGTATTAGTGCCAAAGCACACATTAATTTACATTACGTAGATTAGTAATTAATCTACATTATAAAAAAATTCAAAATCTTATACAACAGGAATTTAACATATCTTATGTTTCAAAAATCAGGAAAAACTTTTGATTTTCTCCTGGAATAAAATAATGCCCAAGTAGATTGACCAGACTGTATTATTACTGAATTCAAATTTTAATTCAACTTAAGAAACAAGCCAACTCTTAGGAGTAGAAATACCTTTGCGGCAGATTCCAATGTTTCTTTATTTTTTTGCCTTTCTTCTTCCAAACATTTTTCTAATATTTCCTGAAAATGATAAGACAGTAATGAATTATTTGAGATAGGAGAACACATGCTTTCTGTACTCAGAGCTCACTAGAAGCATTACCTTCTGTTCTTGAGATTGCTGAATCAAAGCTTCCTTTATTTTCTCTCTTAACAGTTCCTCCTCTGTGTCTAGCATCTCAAGGAGCCTTTGATGCTGCAAGGAAAGACAACTGCATGATGACTATGGCTCTGAAACAAAATCTATCAACAAGGAGGACAGATGATAGGATTCATTTGCCTAAAAAGGAATACTGAAGTAGTTGCTGGACGAAATAATTGGAAGTATGGTAAAACAAAGGCAGGTGAAGCAGAAACTCTTCTGAGTTCCTATTTCCTTATTCATCCTATATAGGTTGATTACAAGTTTCCCAAACAAGACAAGAAATCTAATGTAGTAACAACTATTCCAAATTAGAAAACAAGTCAGAAAGTGGTAATATGTCTTTTTACATAATTAAATTTGGAAATTATTCTCCCTGAAATTTTTTTTTATTAGCTTGCCAAAACCAGACCTGGGAAAATACACTGTTTGCTTGATGAAAAACCACAACCAGTTATCTGTGGGTCTCTAGTAAAGTATTAAGGATACTGAAAGATAAGACTACTTCTTGCCTCAAGACTTTATCACAGTTTCAAAAAAAAAAAAAACCAATCCATAAAGATATCATATGTAGTACTAAAGTATAGAGAGCTAGTGAATTTACTTTCATTGAAATGTACTAATGAAAATACACTTAAGTTCATCAGAGAACTATTATTCACTAAGCACTTGGAGTTTGAATAGAGATTTCTAACAAAATTCAATGTTTATATTTTATTTATACTTAAATTTATACATTATATATCTGCACTATATTATATATAGCATATGTATATCATATATTATGCATACCTTATATACTATTATATATATGTTATATTATATAACTATATAATTATATATAATGTAATAATTATATTTCTATGTAACTTGTAATATATGTGAAATATTATCATAATAAATAAATATAAGTTATATATGTATTAACATAACATGTTATTTATTATACATAAGACATAATTATGTACATATATATTATATATGATTATCTATCTATCTATCTATATCTATATATATATACACACACAATATATATATTTGGGGGGTACCAGTACTGGAACTTGAATTCAGGGCCGTGTGCTGTCCCTTAGCTTTTTCCCTCAAGGGAAGTGCTCTACCACTTGATCTACAACATCACTTTCAGCTTTTTGCTGGTTAATTGGAGATAAAGGTCTCACGGACTTTCTTGCCTGGGCTTGTTTTGAACCTTAATCCTCAGATCTCAGCCTCCCCAGTAGCTAGGATTACAAGTGTGAGCTACCAGTGTCTACTCAACTTGTACTCTATCAACAGTTTCAATAATAGGAGCCAGATGGTATTCCGGACCAGGCTCCAATATGAACACAAAATTAAAACACCTGGCAATGCTCACAGACTTCTTGCTCAGTTACTAAAGATTCATACTGTTTCAGATACAGGAAGTTCCTTTTGAACATGAGGTCAATCTGATATTCTATCCGGTAAAACAGCTCTGTCTTTCAAAGTTGTTCTGATTTTTAACACACTTCTCAGGGAGGCAGTCTATATTGGGAGGAATAAACAGAGTCTGTATCATCTAGTTGAGACAATGTGTCATTCCTGTTTTAAATTAGAACAGTTCTTTTCATCCTTTGTTTTTCAAAAGAGTAAAAAAAAAAATCAAATGAAAGATGTGGTTTTCCCTTAAAAACAAATTCAAACTGTGATGCAAATCATGACATGATTCAATGTGGAGCAATGATGGGTTCCATGCGCGTCAACCAACGAATGAACACATTGTATAAGCTCAAGTCAGTAGACATAGAATTTTTTTTTTTGGTTGGTCATGGGGTTTGAACTCAAGCCCTGGGTGCTGTCCTTGAGCTTTTTTTGCTCAAGGCTGGCACTCCACCAGAGCAACACTTTTGGTTTTTGAGTGGTTAATTGGAGATAAAAAGTCTCATGGGGACTTTTCTGCCTGGGCTCATTTCAAACAAGGATCCTCAGATCTCAGCCTCCTGAGTAGCTAGGATTATACGCATGGGTCACCAGCACCCAACTAAACATACAATTTTGTATTTCATGTAGTTACTGGTAGATGGATACAGAATTTCACAATCTCAGAAATGATATACTTAATCTGTAACACTCTCATGAGAAAATATGCAAAGATACAATACCAGACAAATAATTAGATTTAAAGGTGATAAATACCATCCTCACAAGGCCTAAAACTCAATTTAGGCTTAAAAGGGGACAAAGCACTCATAGAATAAATAAAAATTATTGGAATTTTAAAAAGACACTAAGATTTTCATAGGAATAGTTAACTTTTATGTGTGTATGGGTGTATGTGTGTGTGTATGCTAGTACCTGGGCTTGAACTCAGGGCCTAGGTGCTGGACCTTAGCTTTTTTGCTCAAGGCTAGTACTCCACCACTCTTGAGCCACACTTTCACTTTGAGAGATAAGAATCCAAAGGACTTTTCTGTCCAGGCTGGCTTTCATCTACCCATGCCTGGCTAATATGATTCTTAAAGAGATGCTGTATCACAAATAAAAAGCATAGGGGAAGGTGGGTAACAAGGGCTCATGCCTATAATCCTAGCTACTCTGGAGGCTGAGATTTGAGAATCAAAGTTAGAAGCCAGCTTGAGCAGGAAAGTCTATGACACACTATCTCCAATTAATAGGCAAAAGCCTGAAGTAGAGCTGTGGCTCAAATGGTAGATCACAAGCCTTGAATGAAAAAGCTAAGGGACCCTGAATTTAAGCCCCCGAACTAGCATGAGCATGAGTGTGCGCGTGCGCCCCCCCCAACGTGTGCACAAATAGTGGGAATCAAATATGCATATTGTCATAGATGAAATACAAGATGAAATACACTTCTACTGGAGAGGTGGTAGGTGAGCAGGAAAGGCAGCTAGACTGTTTTTTTGTTTTGTTTTGTTTTTTTATTGTGCAAATACCGTACAGAGGGGTTACAATTACATGGACAAGATAACGAGGACATTTCTTTTTTTTTTTTTTTAATTTTTTTTTATTTTATTTGAGAACATACTGTACAGAGGGGTTACAATTACATGGGCAGGATAATGCATACATTTCTTACCAAGCATTGCAGCAACGAGGACATTTCTTATCAAGCATTGTAGCCTCCTCCTTTGTTTACCCTTCCCATACTAAAAATATGGAACACTTCACGAGTTTGCGTGTCAGTGTCATCCTTGAGCAGGGGCCATGCTAATATTCTCTGTATCGTTCCAATTTTAGTATATGTGCTGCCGAAGCAAACACAGCTAGAGTGTTTTTAACTCACTATTTTTATCTAGATTTATAAATTATTTAAAAATATTTTAATTGTATCTACCACTTTTTTTCTAGATCCTGTATACAGGAACTAGAACTTTCATAAATATTTTGGTAATCTAGCTCACGCCAGAAATCCTATCTACTCAGCAGTCTGAGATCTGAGGATCACAGTTCAAAGTCAGCTTGGGCAGGAAAGTCCCTGTGATTCTTATCTCCAATAAACTACTAGAAAACCCGAAGTGGTGCTGTGGCTCAAGTGGCAGAGAGCTTGCCTTGAGCTAAAGAGCACAGGGACAGCACCCAAGCCCAGAGCTCAAGCTCCACAACTGACAAAAAAAAAAGGTAATCTGTATAACAACTAAGGAATGTATTAACATATTTTAAAACTGAATTATAAAGAGGCTTTGTGAATTTGTTTAGATCCACAGGGCTAGCAAATGGTTAAGACTGCATCTCAGGAATGGCAAAATACAAAATCCATGGACTCATTTTTTGTTGTTTTGGTAGTACTGATTGAACTCAGAACCTCACTTTTGCTATGCACATGCTCTACAGCTTGAGCCACACCTGTAGCCCCTTTCTGCATTGATTTTAGAGAAGCTGTCTGTACTTCACACCCAAACAGGTCTGGGCTCTGATCCCCATAACCCTGTCCCTGTAGACAACAGGCACCCACCACTGTGTCCAGCACTGCACTCCCCTGTAGCTGGGAAGACAGGTATGTGCCACTATGCACAGCCACTACCTGAAATGGGCTCTAGAGCTCTCCTCATCCAGGCTGGTCTTAAACCATAAACTGCTTCCTTAAGTAGCTAGGATTACAGGCTTGACCTACTGTGCCCAGCTCAAAAATTCCTTGAGACAACTTCGGACTTTAGATGTGCCCCAATCACTAGGGGCTGTTTCACTCACTTTTGAGGTTCATTTGTACATTCATAATATTTTTCTGTCTTTATGGTTAGTAAAAACAATCTCCTAGAGCTATACTGTGGTCATGGTATGTTCACATCTGCAGAGGATCCTCAGGGAGCAGTTACAATTGTGATAAGACTGCAAAAGCTAGGAGGGCCAGGAGAACCCTCATGTATCACAGACTTCCTTTGAAAAGTTCCTATGGAGAGCTGAGTCTCATCTACTACAATTCCATGGAACATTTGCCAGACCAATCATTTATTCAGAAGTCAATGCCTACATCAGCAGGCAATTTTTTCTTTTCAAAGATAATACTTTTAAGAGATTTTAGTCAGGTGTGGGTGGCTCACGCCTGCAATCCTAGCTACTCATGAGGCTGAGATTTGAGGATCATGGTTCAAAGCCAGCCCGGGTAGCAAAGTCCATGAGACATTTATTTCCAATTAACCACCAGAAAACTAGAAGTGGCACCATGGCTCAAGTGGTAGAGTACTCGCCTTGAGCTGAAGAGCTCAGGGACAGCACCCAGGCCCAGAGTTCAAGATCTATGACCAACAAAAAAAGAAAAAAAGATTTTATAATATTATTTTACTGTTACTATTAAGGTGTTGTTCAGAGGGGCTACTATTTCACAATTCAGGTAATGTGTACAAGAGATTTTTTTCTGTAAAATAAAGCTACAATTATAAAAAGCTGTTCTTACACATTGTATATTTGTGTAAGTACAATAATGATATTATATTTGGGAGCTATGTCTCAAGGCATTAGAACATTCTAATAGATTTAACAAAGGAATCAGAACCAGTATGACTATGGAATTGAAGTTCTTCACTTACTAATCTCAACCTTCACTTCTCATTTATATTTAAGGC